CTCGAGCGTGGTGACACGATCGAAGATGGTGGCCATGGTGGTGTTGATGGTGGCGAGGGAGGATTTGAGGGCGGTCAACATTTGGAGGATAGTTGCGAGTTCCGGGGTGGTGGTGGTCGAAGTTGGCTGATCGCCTGCGAGTTCGCGGGCAATGTTGTTGACAGAGTCGGAACGAAGATCAGACATGGTGATGGAAGATTGGGCCATGGTGGGGGAAGAGGGGGTGGATGACGTGGCCGGAGCGGAAGTGGAGGCGGTAGCAGCGGATGTGATAGCGGCAGCGGTGGAGGCGGCAGCAGCAGCGGCGGCGGCGGCGGCGCATTGGGAGGTCTTGGTTTGGCGTGGTGGCATGTGGAGATGGGGGGGGCAATTCCTATTTACAAGAATAGAGCGTCATCAAGTGATTTAGCAATGAAGGTAGCAGAGAATCGCAGAGCAAGAATTAATTTTGAATAAATTAATTTGAATTTATTCGAAATTAATTCGAGTGTGAGGAACAAGCCCTCAAGGGGCCCTATTAGACATCACATTGTTCTGGGCTAAGGCCCCCAGTGAGCCAAGTGCCGGCCCTAAGTGAAGGCGGGCCTGAATATTCGTCAAAGGCAAAATTCGACTCAGGCTCTCGCAACACGCCAGTTGGTTGGGAAGACGCGCGAGCCTCACATTGCTGCGTCATACAGTTGGCCCAGGCCTTGACAGTTGTGCCTGGGCACACATACACAAAGCAGGGCCGATACATTGGGAAGCAGGCCTTCGGCCTTTGCAAAAGCAGTAGTGCCAACGCACCTGCCTGGGAGCCCTGCACAGATGCAGCAAACAGCCCAAGTTCGGAGACTCAGGCCGTGCCTAACTGCAAAGGGCCCAGGCCCTCAACTGTAGTCTCAGGCCTGGGCGCAGGGACTGGGACCCAACCGGAAGCTACTGGAAGCTCCCAGCCAGGCCACACGCAGCATCCAAGAGGCTGCCACTTCCACAAAAGGAAGGAAGCAGCCCAGGCCAGGCATGTTGGTCAGAGCTGGCAATGCAGAAGTGCTGCTGCACTCTCGCTTGAGGCTGCGCTGCTGCCAAGGGCGCTGACGGGGCGCGAGAGGTGAAGTGGGGCGCTGCAGGGCAGCGGGGCGCAAGCAGCCATAGCCGGGCTGCTGGGCGCCAGGGGGTACAGCGGATGATCAGGTGGTCTTCAGGGAAGGAGGCGCTGTGTGGGGTAATCAAGGTCTGATTGAGGGTGACGAGATACGTACCCGGTACATGAAGAGAGGTCGGCGTTGGTGTTGGCAGTCATGTACGTTGGTCTTCGAGAGTCGAAGTGATCCTGTTGCATGAACCGGCTGTAGGTAGGCTAGTCAGGTAGAGTAGGCTGGGCGCCGAGCGCCAGACAGGAGAGAGCGACTTTGGATACTGTGTTGGTGTGGCCTACGGGCTTGGACATTGGCTCATTACTTCATTGTATTGCTCTATATGGATGGTTTTCTCGGTGCATTTGTACTCTCTGCTTGGGACACGACTACTTGTTCAGCTGTGTGATTTCGCAACTTGGTTTTATGTATATCACTCACACTCATATTCCTTACATGAGAGTGTATTTTTCAATAAATAGGAAAGCGAAATTTTCAGGAATTTCCAAATGAAAAGAAATAATTAATTTCGCGAAAAATAAGTTTTGACGAAATTTATTCGGATTTATGTTTGGGGAAATTTTATAATTTCGAAAAGGGGTGATTAATTCCGAGTAAAAGAGATTAATTCAGTCGTGAATTAATCGAGTTTAGTCGAAATTAATTAAGGAGTTCAGAAAAAAAAAAGGAAGTACTTCTGAATAAAAGGAGAATTTTGAAAAAGAATTGCGAAAAAGAATTTTTCGAATGTCAAGAAAAATTGCAAAAAGGAATTTTATGAATTAAAATATATGAGAAAAAGAATTAATTAGCCTTCTTCAAAAAACAATAAGGGAGATGTCCGTGATCCTTGTTCCTCTAATTTCGTTGAGGTCCTCCCCAATCTCTGCGGACTGGCTGCTACTCCTGTTTGTCTGAGCATTCTTCTCTGTCCGCTTTATACGGAGTTGCACTTTCTTACAAGTGCCCCTTCAGCTTGATGCTGAGTAACCAATTCAACGGGGGAGTTGGAATTAAATTCCCGTTGAAACCCGTTGCAACCCCTTTGACCCCCGTTGAATTCCCGTTGAATCCAAAACGGGGGGCCTCCCGTGTTTTTGTTTTAACCACAGACAAGGCCCACGGGGGCTCGGGTGCATGGCTCAGCGCCCGCAAGCGATTAAAGTTCATTAAACTAAAGTAAAAACAAAATTCGCAAACTCCCCCCCCCATATAACCCCCACTGCCCCCGGTTGTGTGTGTGTGTGTGTTTGTGTGTGTGTATTTGTGTGTATGTGTGTGTGTATGTGTTGTGTGTGTGCATGCATCTGTGTGTGTGTTTGAGAGGTTGTAATCCAAGGCGCGTGAGGTACGATATATCATTAGATTCATTACTCGTACCCGCACAGCTCCGACAAACCATGTCGGCCCACCTTGAATGAGAGACAAAGCAGGAGTGACGTTCCCCGCAGCAAAAGACCGACAAAAAAAAACAGACGCATCCAGTAGTGGAAGGTAGGGAATTCTAAACCAGACTCTACGAGCAGCATCTACTCTTCAACTGTTGTACACAGACTCGACGTGGAACAGACACATCCAACAGTGCAAGGTAGGGGATGACTTTGTCGAATGATGAGAGTAGCATCAATGCTTCAGACACAGTTTTCAGACAGACCCGAACGCACACAATAACACCTCACAAACAAACAAAGGGATGGGGGGAAGGCAAAGGACAGTGAGGCAAAGGGCAGGGAATCAACACCATAGGAGGACAAACCACGACACGGCACATGAACTTTAGAGTCACGAGAGGAGGAACAAACATGAGGCAGCACATGGGCTAAAGGGCATGGGGGAGGTGGGAGGGCACAAGTAACCAAAAACAGCAAAGCGACAACAAGAAAAGAAAACAGCAAAGGACAGGCTGGAGGGTAGAGGGTTGAGGGTAGAGGGCAGACAAATAGCACAAGGCAAGAAACAAAGACCGGAAAAAATAAATTAGAAGCTGTGATGAAAGATTGTTTCGTCGGAGTTGCACCGACTCATCAGGAGGCTGAACCCTCGACAATCTGCGGAGTCCCTGTATTGATGGTTTAGGTCATCAAACCTTTGACCCTTGTTGAAGGCAGTCTGTTCACCCAACGAAACAAAGCAGAGGGCGGCAACCCAGCGAAGCAACAGGCGATGCTGCAGAGGCAACACGGCGGCTCAACGCCAAAGATGACTGCAAGGAACGGCATGGCAAGTGGACGAGCAGCACAGCAGCCGTACAGTGAAGCACACAAGGCGACACAAGCAAGGCAGCCAAACGGCACAGCACACAAGCAAGCGACATGGAAGGAACGACACCCGGATGGGCAGCAAAGCAGCAGCACAGGGAAGCACAAGGCAACACAAACACCACAGCCACACCACCCAGAGAATACAACAGCAAGCAGGACGGGCAAGCTAAGACATTGAGGCCATTGGTCGGTCACGTTATCTCATTGGAGGATGGCCAAGTGGAAAGGCATCGGTTTCTGATACTGACATATTATCTTGTTTACTTACCCATTCTCTAGACTTCAGAGATAGAAGAAAGTCCATCTCTCATTTCTCAATCACAAGAGATTAAGTCCAAGTGTCTAGGAAGTTAGCGTCAATAAGGAAACAAAGAAAACAATCATTGGAATTTGCATTAAAAATAGCTGAGTCTAAGCTGATAAACAACCCCGCCTCCCAACTATATATCGAGGTCTTCGACAAGGCTCGAGAGGAATTGGCTATGTGGAGATGGTGGGAGCTAAAAGGCCTTCAGATATGAGCAAGGATGTCCGAATATGAACTAAGCGACTCAATGACTAGACACTTCTTCGCTCGAATCAAAGCCAACTCAAGAGCTAGCACGATAGAAAGCCTAAGGTCACACACATCCCCTGAAATTGCTAAATCTGATAGTGAAGGGATGCTGGAGATAGCTTATAACTTCTACAAAGAACTTTACCAGTCCAAGACCGAAACACCAATACCCATCAACGTCAGAGAGGCAAGGCAGAAAATGCTGCACTACCTAGAGCAGRCAATATCACCCGATCAGGCAGAAGCGCTTGACAAACCGCTCACTTCAGAAGAAATACTCGGGGCTCTACAAAGCATGAATAACAACAAAACCCCAGGAATTGACGGCTTAACAAAAGAGTTCTGGGAAAAATTCTGGCCCTTGCTTGGAAACGATTTACTCAACTTCTATAATGACAGTTGGTCTAAGGGGGGGCTGGGTAATCTTCTTAGCAGCAGCGTRATCACACTACTGTACAAAAAAGGTGAAAAAGACAATATTAGAAACTACAGACCCATATCACTGCTAACCCTCCCTTACAAGATCCTCGCTAAGACCCTGTCTAACCGGATCATTAAGATCACCAACAAGTGCTTCCACATTGACCAAACAGGATTCATCCCGGGCCGCTATATTCTGGACAACGTCATGACACTAAATGAATCAGTGAGAAAAATCAGAGAAAGGAAAATAAATGCCGCCATTCTCTTCTTTGATTTCGAGAAAGCATACGACCAAGTCAACTGGGACTTTATGGAAGCAAGCATGGAAAGAATGGGAGTCGGACCGAACTTCAGAAAGTGGGTTAGGATACTCTACAAGGATGCAGTTGGTTGTGTCCAAGTTAATGGACTATTGTCTGACTGCTATCCGATATCCCGCTCGGTCCGCCAAGGGGACCCTCTAGCGCCGTCAATCTTCCTTTTTGTAATGGAGGCAATTGCTTCCTTTCTGCGCAAGGATCCATCAATTCAGAGACTAGCCAGTACCGACGTAGGCTCGACCCATCAGATGGATTTCCCTGCAGCTATCATGTTCGCTAATGATTTAACAGTCCTGATTAGAGCATTAGACTCCTCCTTCAGAACACTAGCCAAAGCAATGGAAGCATTTAGGCTAGCCTCAGAAATGAGGATCAATTGGGGGAAAACAATTGGTTGGTGGCTTTCCGACAACGAACCCCTTTCTCTCCAAGGAAGCAAGACGACTATGACATGGCAAACATCGGACACACCCACACGCTATCTAGGAATCCTGATGACGAAAGAAGGACTGGCGCCCCAAATGGGCCCGTCCATGCTGGCCAAACAGATTAACAAAATCGGAAGGTGGGGCAACGCTTTCACTTCCCTTATAGGCCGAGCGCTGGTGCTCAACACGTCGGTCTTCTCAATGATGTGGTACATTGCTTCTATCTGGATAGTTCCGAACAGCTCTATTAAGGAACTGAACAGACGAGCCAGGATATACCTATGGACAGGTGACCCTAATAAAGATAAGGGCATATCTAAGATAGTCTGGCAGTACGTCACAAGGGAACCACGAAATGGAGGCCTAGG